CGACTGGTACCTCGATTTCAGTAACGAGTATTATAACACGTTAAAGAGCGTTATCTCTTCTTTCAAAATCTGTTTTCAAAACTACGGGCAACTGAAAAGAAAATTTTTTAGGCCAAAAGATACAAGTAGTACTTTTCTGAAATTTGAGCTTTCCAGACTCGGCGGACCGATGCTAAAAACTCAGAAAAATGCAATAAGAAATCAGTTTGAGCAACAGTGGTTTGACGTTATCAGCTATCAGAAACAAACACGTGTTTATCGAGCGATCTGATAAAATTTAAAGCCGTTTTCCAACAAGAAAAGCAGAGTTTAGCCATCTTCTGCTACCAAACGCACGAGTCACGTAAGGTTGTCAAAAGGCAAAGCACAGTAATAAACTTCAAAAAGCACAACGTTTCTGCGTCCAGGAATTAGACTTTAGCGGATAGAACAATGCCTACGAGTGTATGTTTCATACCTTAGCATGGGTCTCCTAGATGTTGGAAGTAAAAAACATCAAGCACAGCGTCGGCAAGAGCGTCTTCGGCTGCTCTCAAACAACGGAGATTGCGTTACTTTTCACAGATTGACCGCTTACCACCTGTTTTTGGGCTTGCATTTCGACGGATCTGAACTCTTCTTCACGAGACATTGAACTGAATTTATCGAAAATATGCCAACACCACCAACAACACGGGCTTTTTTCGGGTATTTGTGGTTTTTTATACGAAAAGTTCGGGTAAGCAGATTCACGCAAAAAGCATTTGGCTTAAAAAATGTGTTTAAAAGCCCACCCTGGATTTGAAACAAATATTTCCTCGAAATAAGCTAAAAAGTACCCAATTCACGCGGTGAAAAAATGGATGATTATGGAAGGATTATCGAATTCTTGCCTAACCTGAGGGATTTCCCAATTTCCCGCGATGTAGGATTAGGGGTAGGAAAAAAGCCCATAACCTGCTCCTGTCGTTGTAAATTTCCTCAAGATCAAAAATTTCAGTAAGAACCGCAAAAAAAAAAAAAACAGCTTAAAGGAAGTGCACACACCTTGACCTAGCCAGGGAGAAGGGGCTTCTGATTGAGCTAAACCGTCATTGATGCACGGTGCAATTAGTTAGACCTGTTACTATCCCCCGCGCAACCACAGGAACAAGTCCAGCCATTTGGGCCCGGGGGGGGGGAGTACTTTGAAGCGGTCCTGTCGGGGAGTTTCGGGGGTAGGGGGCGGGAAAAATCGAAAACAAATTTTCTTTGTTTTTGTGAAGTACATCATTTCTCGCACGGTTGACAAGGTGACGGTGGACTCCATAGCTGTGGAAAGGCCCTTTTGAAACATGTGCCGGCAACATGCAGGGCATCACGAAATTGACGTCAACACCTTGAATCAACTCCATGAACAGGGAGAGGCGATAAGTCCCATCTTAAAAGATGCTTGATGTCTAGACGTGAATAGTCTGTCCGCAGTCATTTTTCATTTTGTTTATCGGGACCATCTGATAGCACACGAGTGAACCGGAGCGCAGTAACGAGCCCTAACCCCACCCAATTGCCCTTGCGGTCAATAAATCATCGAGAGCCTCCAAAAGGAATATTGAGGGTCTTTGTACAGTTTCAGTTTATTTTACCGACAAAAAAGAACAAAACAAAGCAAAAGACAAGTATACAGAAATACGCAGAAGCAATGTGGTGAGGAAGCCCAAAAAGAGACCATAAGGCTTAGGTTATCCCCTTTTCGTTCGTTTAGCGTTGAATAGGTTTGCCTGGCTTTGGGTGGGTCGTTCTGTTGGGTGAAAAAAATCACAAAAAATCTGAGAACAGGAGGCCTGAAGCACCAGCATCATTGCCGTGGAGCCTGAAAACAACAAGACATGGTCACCAAATCGACACAAACTCAATATTGCGGAAAATGTGATGGTCAATTTCATAAAACAAAGGCCCAAAAAGGGTAAAAAGCAAAAAGGATACACCACCGAACGTTTTATGCCTGGAAATGCTGTTATAATGCTCATTTCTTAGATTAAAAGAATTAATTTAAGTCCAAAAAAATAAACCTTGTCGTTTCTTTTTCTTGCTTTTTTAAAAAAATGCCAAAAAACTGGGTCTGTTGGACAACACTAAACGAAGAAAAAAATTAATATAGGTATCAAGCTCCATTGAAGTATAAAAGTATAAGTTTACAAGGACAGGATCGAACGTATACTGAGTAACTAAATGATAAAAATTTGATCAAAATTAAATGAAAGGCTAAGAGTCTAAGCGCTGTCTGATAACGAAACGGTAAACAAGAAGTGCTGCCTGTCATTTAATAGAGACGTGAAATACTGGGTAGACCACATCCTGAACTCCTGCGAAAACCGGAGAGGAACGCTCAGGGCTAAGGAGACTAAACAGGGGCGTAGCTACTTGTATGCACGGTTCGCACGTGCGTACCCAAAAACGTTGAGGAGAAAAAATAGGATGAAATAAACATAAATAAAAAAATCCGTTTCCAGAGAAGCGAGGACATTAATTGGAGAACCGAACCTTGGATGCTTTATTTATATAGCAAGCTTGATGATGTAAAGCGTGAACGCGTTGTTTTCTCCACGACCTGTCTTCGGAGTAGACGAAGTAGGGCACAATTACGTCAATGTGTGGTGCTTTTGTCGGTCAAAAATAATGTGACAAAAAAGGGTAAAAAGAATCATTTGTAAACTAAAGTCGGAGGTACTACAAGCTTGATTTTTAATAGCTGAATTAATGATAAACGGTTGACGTCAATGAACATAACAAGCCGACAGAATTAAAGAATTTTAGAGGTTGTGTCGTTTCATAAACAGCAAAAATGCTTTTGCTTACAACCGTTAACCCCACCTTTAATATAGGCACCTTCAAAAATGTTGAGATTTGGGGTGGGGGGATGGGGGGGGAGACGATGTAGAAAAAGTTGGGCGTACCTCCGGAAAAATCCTGACTACGCACCTGCTAAAGCCTGAAACTGAACAACAGGAGTCTTGACGAAACGTCCTCAGTTATCATCTGTCCGGGGTCGTACTTTCAAGGAAGCGCTGATCAAGAATCACTCATGACGGAATGAAAACTCCTCGTAGCTTCCAGCGAAAAAAGGAGTGACAACAGTGGTAAGCCGTCGTTCTGTGAAATGTAACGCAATCTCTGCCGTTTACGATCTTTCGGCGCTTGGATTTAAAACGTTGTTGTTTGGTATGTTCTCCTGTGTAGATACTTGACATTTCCAATATATGGAAACACCATGCTAAGGGACGAACAACAGACAATCACAACATTGTTTTGTACGCTAAAATCTGCTTTCATGGATGCAAAACGTTTTGAATTTTAAGAATTTTTAATGTTAGTGCTTTGCCCTCCCTTTGACAACTTCACGTGACTGGTGCACTTGGCAGGAGTTGACAGCTTAAATCTGCCTTTCTTGATAGCAAACGGCATTAATTTATATCAGATCGCTGTATAAACACGTCTTGGTTTCTGAAAGCTGATAACTTGAACCCACGGTTTCTCAAACTGATTTCTTATTGGATTTTTCCGAGTTTTTAGCATCTGCCCGCCGAGTCTCAGGGGAGTCTGGAAAGCTCAAATTTCAGAAAAGTACTACTTGTATTTTTTGACCTCAAAAATTTTCTTTTCAGTTGCCCGTAGTTTTGAAAACAGATTTTGAAAGAAGAGATAACGGTCTTTAACGTGGTATAAGACTCGTTACTGAAATCGAGGTACCAGTCGACGATTTGGGGCTTTGAAATTTGCCATTTTTTCATTGAACGAAAACGTTCAAAATATTGAAAATAATGAAAAATTTCCAAAATATTACATTTTCGTTCAAACTGAGTAAATCACCACTTAAAATGTGTGCAATTATGTACTCTTCTGAATAAGTTATTTGTTGTCCGCATTACAATGAGATTTGAATTTTAAAACGATTTTTTTGTGACACATGGTCTCGAGCCTGGAAAACCCGCTCCGAGAGCCGCGAAACCAATAACCCCCCCGTACGTGGAAAATAATTATCGGATCGAAGTAAAAATTACATTTATGTTAATAGCTTACCTAGTGCTACTTTGTGAATTTTTTTGAGAATTTTCGATTTGTCACTTTTGTAGACCTCTGGTCGATATTTATTGACATCCGCTCTTAAGCAATGGCGTTTTTTAGCGACGTACGTCAGCCGGAAGTGACGTCTTTTCCATTTTAAAGCACTTTGACGCTACCAAATTTGTATTTCTAAGTGTCTTTACTATTATAGAGGCGATTTGTCAAAAAAGTTGGACAAAAACATCGTCCAAAAATGAAAGAAGACCACTTCTGGTTGAGGCTCGTCGCTCAAAAACGTCTTTGCTTAAGCTCACTAATATATTGGTGCGAACAGGGCCTTAGTAATGATCCCTTTTCTACGAAATAACGATAATCCTTCAACAAATCGTACCCAGGGCTTTCCCCTTAGAAAATGGGAGGGAAAGCCCTGCAGACGAGGTTTGATTATTCCTCTGCGAATTAATATAATCCAGAAAAGAACTTGGGTTGGCGGTAGCCCAAGCTGGAAACCGATGTTATAGTCACCTTAACCCTCCATCGGTTAAGGGGACTCAACTTAATCCTCCAACAACGTTTTCTCCAACTGAAACAGCTCCTCCTCTCATTAAACTGAACAAGATGTTTCCACTGCTTTTTCTCCCTCCGTGATCCACCGCAAGTCATGTGGTCTGTGGCAGCGACTAGCAAAGTAAATTTGATCACAGGTGGGGAAGGGGGGAGTTTCAGTTTGCCATTCAAAATACAAGGCAAATATAGTCCGACGTTTGCAAGTGTCTCAGACATTTTCTTGTAAATTTGAATGCAATTTCAATGCAAGGAGAATAAGACTGTTTCAATCTCAGCAGACTAGCTTGTTAGCGAAACACATTCGTCTGACATGACACAGCCGTACTGAGCTGCCCGTCTGCCTTCCTGCATGGCACTAATGACAAGAGACGGTTATTACCTCTGCGTGCAACTCTCCTTTTTAGTTCCTGTTAGTTCACCTTACACTCGCTGTTGGCGCTTGAGTTGTCATAGCCGGGGGGTACAGGCAAAGATATAACGTCTTCCTGACCAGAGTCATCTGTTGAACTCGTAATTGTTTGTGATTGTAGCGTCTCAACACAGCCTCGAAGAAGTTCCACCTTTTCGACGTGGTGTTCTTTTTTAAAGTGAAAAGGTACTCCAGTCTTGCACGAAACAGTTACTTTCCCTAAACCAACAATAACGACTGCTGGTTTCATTTCAACGGTCTTTTCCAATAGGTAATCCCCTTCTTTTAACAGAACAATTTGATTTACTTCCTCACGCTCCGTGATCTCTTGGACATTGCGCAATTCATGTGAGCTTTTAACAGCATGGATTTGTAACGCTCCATAACGTTGAATGACGGAAGAAACATTTCGACCAGAACTCAAGTGATTAAAGATAGCAGCAGCGGCCAAAGATTCGTGTTTCCTTCCTAACTCTGCTAAAGTCGCTGCCTTGGCGTGGTACCCAAGAAACCAAGAAGGATTCGCTCTGATAGAAGATTCTGAATCTTTTAACGCAAGCTCCAATAAGGATTCTCGCTCATTTATGTTCCGGGTTTCCTCTGCTGATTTCAAGCAGGTTGACGCTCTAGCTGTTAGGAGGTGTTCGTCTTCTGGACATATGGCTAATGCCTTGCTGTAGTGAGATAAGGCCTCATCTAATTGGCCACGCTTGAGGCTCTCCTTAGCTTTTTCTTTCAGCATTTTGATTGAATCAACTGAGGATGACAGTTCTATTTTTTCAGTGTAAACGGTTTTATCCAAGTGCAATAGAACACCTTTGGTGCAGATGATTTGGACTTTTCCCATACCAACCATTAATGCGTTCGCTGGAACTTTCAGTGGCTCCGTTAACTCATATCTGCCTTCCTTAAACAAAATAACAAGATTCCTTCCGGTCTCTCTCTTGACTATTTGAAGGAGATCATCAACTGTAGCAATCACGTTTATAATGTAATGTCCGTAGTGCTCCACGACGGCTGGTATTCCAGAGCATTGGGATGGGAAGAAGTACCTGGCAACAGCAGCTGCAGCAAGACTTGGACCTCGATGTCCAAGTTTAGCGAGACAAACAGCTTTCCAGTAGTAGCCTTTCACCCAAGAAGGATCTATAGTTATCGCCTTATTTGCGTCTTGACAAGCGCGTTCAATAAGCTCCCGTTTAGTTTGGACTGCAGAACACTCCTGCTCTGAAAGCTTCACATACGTCGCTGCTCTGTTGGTTAGCACCTTAGAATCGTTTGGAAAACGTTTAAGGGCTTCATTATAAAGCTCTAGAGCCTTCGAATAATTTCCTGACTTGAAAAAAGAATTAGCAATGTCTTTAATGGTCTTAGCCTCGACAACCCTCGTGTCACAACGCGTTCTTGCGAAATAACGGTTGGATACTGGTTTCTCATTGCACTGCCTCGCTCGTTCTTCAATTGTTTGGGCCTCGTTCTGACGTCCAAGGGATTTGAGTACCATCACAAGAAAAGAGTGCGCCTCTTGAACTTCTGGGTGGCTATCAACACGATACATTTTCTTTCGAAGTAACACAAACATTTCTGCGATATTTACGTAAAAGGTTCTGTCTGTCTTCTTAAATTCGTATCCATGGTCTCGATAAACGCGGAAACATTTCAGTAACTCAAGAAGAACCATAGCTGCATGTTCACAGCTGCTTTCATCAACCAAAAAGTAAATGTCGTTCATTCCTTTGTCAAATTCTACACTCTGCAAGTTATTGTACATACGAGGCCACCTGTCTGCCAAAATACCTCGAAGTGTATCTTCAGCCCTTTGTGGCTCAAAATAACTAATAGTAGAAAGTGCACTTGTTACTCCCTTGATGTAATAATCTGTGCACTGAGGTTGTTTTTTGGCAATGTGTAACAATTCCTCGGCATATTCTAGTGCCTGGACTAGCTTCCCGTCAATAACGAAATGACTCGTTACAAATTGTAAAACACGAACCAATTCATGGTGATCCGGGGGATAGATTTTTCGAGCAAGTTTAAGAGCTTTTAAATAACGGTTTAAAACGCACTCAAAATTGCCTGCCGACACATAATTTTCTGCTCTTGCTATACAGATCTGCAGATCCACAATCTTCTCATCAGTTATTGACAGGCTCTCGAGTTCCAGCAATGCCCTATAGTTTTTCTCCCATTCCCCTTCAAATGCGTGGTAGGAAGCCATGTGCTCAAGAACTTCATATTTGACATCGGCGTCAATGACAAAACCAGAATTTTCGAACTCTGCTAGTTTCCGTACACTTTGTCGAGCCTGTTTCTTTGCCTCTTCAAAAGTCTCACGAGTCGAAACGTTCCTTTTACAAATACTTGTGTCAACCATCAATTTAAGAAGGGAATCTGGGTCCTGTTTGCCTCGAATTTTAACAATTTCCAACTGAAAATCGCAGAGCTCACTGTTCATTCTGTTGAAGAACACGTTGTTCAAAATTAAAGATTTTGCGAAGCGGCATAGATAAAAGAGGTCATTGCTGCAAAGAAAATGGGTCAAATTGTCATCTAAATGTGAAGAATCAATTTCTTCTTGAATATGATTCTTTAACCTGCGTACATTTAAAATAAGGGCAATGACAAGACTTCTTTCCTCTTCTTTTAATTCTGATAAATTTGGTAAAGTGTCATGTTTAAAAAAATTCACACAGGTCCCACTGGTTTTTGCTTTTAATGCTGAACAAAGAAGTCGAGTGGCTGCTACCAGTGTTTCTACCCTTTGCTTTGTAGTAAGACTATCTCTGACAACTTCTTGAACAAGTTTATGGACACTGAAAACTTTGACATGATGATCAACTGAGAAAAGGGAATGGCATGACAGCACCTTCAGAAGGGCGGCGATGTCAAACTTTGAACGCGCGCAATCCCTTAACTCTTCTTGTTCTAATTCAGGAGTGCCAGAATTGATTACATCAATTGGGATATTTTCAGATTCCAAAAAGGCCGCTATTTGCATCATAGTGGCGGCAGCTGGTGATCGTTGTTTTACATATTCAAAATTCATCTCCCAAGTTGTATTTACCGACAACCGATGTCGAGCTTCCATGCTAAGTGCTGTAACAGGTTGTTGTTGTAAGAGGCGCACTTTTACCTTTTGATACTTTTCTAGGTATTCAGTAAAAGTCAGTGGGATAGGACATGCTGTTATGTATGCGGCTGCCTGCTCCAGGGCTAGTGGCAATGCACCTAGTTCTTTCGCCAGTGAAATAGCACCTGGATCAAGGGACTCTTCTTTAAGACCAGTTCTTTTCATGAGGAACAAAGCGCCATCTTCTACGCTTAAGCATGGCAACTCCAAAAAGTCATCAATTGAAGACATCAAGAAAGCTCTGGCGTCCTTTGCATTTTGCCTTGTTGTTAAAAGTATGTGACCGTTCTTTAGTGATTTACCAGCTCTTTGCCACGGTCCCTTGCATATCTTCTTCACACCTCTGGGACACGTACTATCTTGCAATTCGTCCACATTGTCCATCATAAGAAGCCACAGGTGTTCCTTCCTCGACAACCAGGTAAGGAACCTGTTTAACACGTCATTGATGCTGTCATTTGTTGAGGTAGGAATGTTTCTCAGAGAAAGTATCTCTGCAACTGATTTATTTATATTTTCATCACTTTCTCCGTTGATCCAGAACACGCCTCCTGGGAATCGACTTTTGTTAATCCACGCGAATTCCACGGCCAGTAACGTCTTGCCACAGCCGCCAAGCCCGCATATCGTTTTTGTACAACAGGAAGTTTTTGCACCACTTTGAACACTACTCTCTAGGACAAGATTCTTTTCAAGCCAACTCAGAGCTGTTGTACGCCCAGTAAATGAAGGTAACCTACTTGGTGCGGTGCAAAATATGTCCTCATCATTGCCCGTCTCTGCTTGAAAACTATTTTCTTTCAAGCTATCCACCACTTCCTTTACATCCATGAAATCCTTCTGTAAGCCAGAAATCTTGGTTTCGGTTGTATTCATCTTGATGGTTACCTTTTGCACTGCACTTTTTACACTTGCGAGGTTAGTTTCAAAGTTTAATACTTTAGACTGTATCATATTCAGGTCACAGACAACGTTGGCCATTCTATTTCTTACCACTTCCACATCATCATGGAGAACATTTAGGTCTCCTTGCAGGTCATCTCTTTGATCCAGTACAGTGTTGAAATCATCAACACTGCGGAGTACTGTGGATATCTCAGTGGAGAGGTAGGCCTCTACATCTCTTAAATGCGTTTCCAGCTCCTCCCTCAACTTGCGCATGTCTTCCCTGTTCAGATCACCTTGTTCTTTTACTTCAGATAAGTCGCTCTGAATATCGACTTCAAGTTTCTCCGCTTGTGCTTTTAACGCACCAATGTCGTCTTTGTTCACACCAGCTATTTTTTCTACGTCAGACAAATCTTTCTGAGCTGCCATGTACAATTTCTTAGTCTCTGCATCTACTTGAGCAACTTTCGTCTGAACATCAGTTAAATCACCTTGGCATTTTGTCAGATCTGATGCAAGCGACTGACGTAACAAATGAAGGGCCTCCATCTCAGAATTCCTGACATTGACCAGACCTTGATGGAATAAGTCTTGCAAGTGTTGCGAAGCCTTTTGGGCATCTTTGTCCGCATTAAACACTGGGTCACTCAACAAATTATTCAGATGCGAAAATATGGTTGGCACATCGACATCTTCAATCTCTTGCTTTGGAGAATGCGCCCAATGATTCCTACACTCATCTCTCGCTGCACATAGAACTGTTTTATTTACTGGGGGAGTGAGAAAAGGACACCATTCCATTAAGTTTAGGAGACCACCAATGTCCGTTGTTTCAGCGTCGACAACATCCATTTTCCTGGTTCCAAGAGTTGGCATGAAAAGTTTAGCTACTTCCCACGCCCCAGCCGGAGATCCCCATTGATTTTTGTCACTGTTGTTCCAGCATATCTTTGGTCGTGGTGCCATGTGATGACGTGACAATTCCGCTTCCCATGTAGTACAAGAAGCACATTTGGTAGCACGAGACGGACAAGTGCATGGTGAAAGAGATTGGAGCGGAGGGCTTGAAATGAGGTTTCGGTACCAGGCTTCCATTTCCTTTTGGAGTTTTGGTGAAATTCCATTTTTGGCAATGTTCAGAGCGCATCCAACCAAAACCCAGTTTTTGTGTTCTTTCTTGTCAAGATCTGCCACCCAACCTCCGGTCGCCATTACCTTGTCTTCTAACCAAGGCTGAAAATCTAAGAAGGGCAGTTAACATGTAGAGTTCAGTTGAATATGAAACTCCTCTCTTTCTGCACTATAAATACATACTTTACGTCTTGCATATAACCAATGTTTAAAAATTCGTGTCCAAATATAAATTTCACACCGTTTCTTCATGTAAAAAATTCAAACAATCCCCCTTAGCATGTACACTCTTTGTAACTTTGACTGCAAAGCTACGCAGCAGGAGAAAAAGTTCCAGTTTTTTTAACCCTTTAAGCCCCAATATCCAAATACAAATTCTCTAAACTGATCTCTATACGATTCCATAAAGAATAAGTTGAGAGAATTTGATAAAAGATCAAAGCATTTTCCCTTAGGTGATTATTTCATAAATTCTCACCACCTTTTCTCCTGATTGTGTTTTGATAATGTAAGGAGAAAATTGATGTTTGTCATTTCGAGTCATTTTTGGGACTTAAATATTCAACATTTGTAAACTTTTCCACCTGATAATATTTTGTATCCGTCGCCCAACTTTTTATGCCACCTTCGAAAAATTGTAATTGAGTAGGCCTAATTAACATAAGGTTTATAGTTTCCTTTAGGCCTCCTCGCTATTTCTTCCTACATTTTTTTTGGCATCTTTTTGTGATTGTAATCGTATAGCAAATAAATATTAAATACAAATACAAGGGTGAATAGACATTTGTGTAAATGATTTAGTATTTAAACTCAACTTTTAAACTCAATGTTGTACTAGTTAACCAGTATTGAGATTAAATCCAGGTTTATCCTTGGTTAAAACAAAGAAAATAACCTTGGGAAAAGAACAGAGGAAATTTACTAGTTCTCTTCCTAAGGTATCAAAATATGCTAAACTCTTGAAAACTCTGAATAATTTCGTGATTATTAAGCGTGACTCTCTCTAAAGAATTTTGCTTCCAGAGCGTAGTTATTACACCGGATCGTGAACAGCACTGTGTGTGCGACATACTTCACAAAGTATGGCCAAAACAGAAAAATGAAATTCTTGATAACACAACAGCTGTTTACCGAGACCGGAGAAAAGTGAAATCTTAATCGATTAACAAATGCAAATTTAATATTTCAGCCTTGCCTTCCATTTCCCATCGAATGTTAAATCTTTTGGTTTTGAGGGTAAAACTCTTAGAAATTGTAGTAAATCTTAAAATCACTGTTTACTAAATGATTGTTTTTTTTTTTCTTCACAAAACTCGACGAATTCAAGTGAAAAACATTCATTCGTCTGTGCTTATGTCACAGTACGCCCTGGCTCCAAAGAATAAACCAAACGTTTCCGCGAAGCAGTAACGCGGCTGCTTTAACTACTAAGACGGACACATTATATTACCTATTTCGCGACATTTCGATATGTAGTTTAAAGTAGGATTTCTTATCTTAGGTCTTACCTTACTTGATCATAGACTTGTTGCACTTGGTGGAGATAATTCAGACTGAAATGATGGCTTCCCTTGCAGCAAATCAATAATTCTATCGAAATCGAAAACGGAAATGATAAAGCTGATTTAAGGTACACGCGTTGTTGACCAAGCGTGAAGCTGATATAGAAAGCTACTGGCCAAGTTTTATTTGCGTTTTGTTATTGAAATGCAGACGGTACAGAGCGAGCAAT